TGAGCTCAAGCAGTCCTCTTGCCTCAGCCTCCCAAGAAGCTGGGACTACAGGCACCTGCCAGGATGCCCAGTTAGTTTTTCTATGTTTAGTAGAGATGGGGTCTCACTCTTACTTAGGCTGATCTTAAACTCCTAAGCTCAGGCACCCACCCACCTTAGCCTCCTAGAGTGCTAGGATTATAGGCATAAGCCACCATGCCCAGCCTTAGATTTGGTTCTTTAAATAGATGAATCTGGCAGCAAAAGGAAACTAAACCGGAATGGAGAGAGACTTAGGCCAAGTTAGAAGGTGGTCATTTTGGTAAGGTTCAGGAGATATTAGAAGCAGGATAAATGAAGCTGCTTTCTGGTCTGTGATAGTCTGTTGGCCTCAGATGGATAATGAGGCATATGATGTAAAAAATTTGACTTTTTCCTTCAGGAATAGCTATGCCCTGCTAAGGAGTTCTAATGTTAGAGGAAGACCTCTTTATTCTACAAGAAAGAACCTTATTCTTGGAAGTGAGGGGTTAGCAAGGATCAAAGGAAATTGCCCTTGTTATTCTGCACTATTTTTCTCTGACTTTTCATTTACGGACCTGCCTAAGGAACAACGACATCTCACTCATGAAAATGTACAACGCAAGCAAGCAAGGACAGGAGAAGAGCGAGAAGAGGAGGAGGAAGAGCAGATCAGTGAGAGTGAAAGTGAAGATGAAGAGAATGAGATTATTTACAACCCCAAAAACCTACCTCTTGGTTGGGATGGCAAAGTAAGTCCCAGCACTACCACCTTCTCCCCATTTCCCATATCAAAGCTGATTTAGACTTTAGAAGACTAATGCTGTTTCTTACGTTTTTTTTTTGTTTGTTTTTTAGCCCATTCCTTACTGGCTGTATAAGCTTCACGGCCTAAATATCAACTACAATTGTGAGATTTGTGGAAACTACACCTATCGAGGGCCCAAGGCCTTCCAGCGGCACTTTGCTGTAAGGAATTCAGCACCATTTCTCCTGAGAATCAAAGTAGCAACATGAGACTTTCAGAGAAGAGATTAGGAGCAGCCAGAGAGGACCCTTAGTGTCCAGAGCTGAAGGGAATCAAGCCCAGGGGTTTTGGTGTTTGGCACTAGTGTTGCTAGTCTTGAGTACCTGAGGGTTTCTGAAAGCATTCTACCATCCTGCTGTTTGAATTTTAGTTTGGTTTTCTCTTGTTCTTATGCTTTTCTCTTTTTTTGTCTTTCTGCCATCATCTTAGACCAATTTCTGACTCCTTCGTCATTTCTCCTTTCCATTGCTAGTACTAGGGACAAAAACGGAGCTGATTGCCTTCTTTGAGTCTTATATGGGCCTTTGCCTCTTTGAAAAAACGAAACTAACTAAACTGACTTTTTTTTTTTTTTTTTTTT